TTTCAGACATCCTCCGGGGCTTGGCACAGCCAGATGCCAGCCCATCGTGGCTCTGGCCATCTTCATGCTTTATAAGAAGCGCTTCACTCCAAGCAAACCTGTCGGATGTGGCGGCTCTCAAGTATGGGCTGCTTGACCATTGAGTGAACCCTGCTTTGTTTTCATTTTTTTATGAAGGATAGTAAAGCCCATATGGTTGCCCCTCTCAATACTAAATGCATCTTTTATAGGGTATTTAATTGAACAAGAGGAGCCCTTAGAGATTAGAATGAAAGGTAGACCTTACCTTCTAGTAAACTGTGAAAACAATATACACACTACACCATAGATTTGCTGATATATATTTACCTAAATCTTTGCATTAATATTTGGGGCACAAAAAACACTGACAAGAAGAACACAGACAACACAAACTAACAACAAAAACAGTTGTTGCATGCGGAAATTATGATGATGTAGTGTGAAGAACATTCAGACTAAAAGCATGTTTGAGGACTGAATCCTTTAGCCTATTCTATGCTTTAAGGAAAGCCAAACAGTTGTGATATGTTTCTTCTAGCTGGACTTCATGTTTTAGGTATATATGAATTATGAATGAAAGCAAAATTACTTAGACTTAAAAAACTTAATTGTGATTTAGTTTACACAGTGTTTCACAAAATGAAATTTTGTTTATACAGCTGACAGCTGACAATAATGTTGCACATTTTATGGTGGTAAGGTATCAAGAGGTGTGCATGAGATCCTGGTGGGGGATAATCCATAATGGGGTAGTTGACACTTCACCCATTCAGTAATTAGTTCTTTTGCAGTTTTGGTTATTAAATATTTGACATGTTGATTATCTTTTCACAAGCTTCACAAAATTATTTGTCAGAATTTTGGCCCATTCCTCTTAATACAACTGATTGAACTCGGGGGTGGGGGGGTGGGGGCTTGTTTGCTGCCTTGTCCACAGTGAAATTTTTGGTTTTATCAGGGGGATATTGTTTCATATATCATAAGAATTAACAAGAGTCTCATAGAAAATAGATTGTTTGCAAATAATAACTGTGTACAAAGCTATATTTCAAGTCATTTTGGAAAACTCACATGATAATGTATTATTAAGATTTCCTAATAAATATGATTAATTAACTTAGGTGCACGTTTAAAATACCTGATTATGAAATAGCTAATTTATAGAAGTGAAGTGAATGTAGGAAGGATTAAACTTGATTACGGGGAAATAAAATGGGGCTAACAAAATATTGCTATTAGCCATGATTTGACTCATGGCTAACAAAATTTTGCTATTGCCACGAACAGGAATAAGAATGAAAATGGATGCATGAATCTTATTAAATCTTTTAAATAGCTTTTCACATGTGTGTAACAATATTTATTTTAAAATACTTAGCTTGAAAGTTGGTAGTATGTCTTTATTTATTTTTAAAGTTGTGTTGTGCCTTACAGCTTACAAACAAGCTAGCTATCAACTAGCTTCATCAAAAGCTTTTTCCTGATGTCAGTTAGCCGTCAGGAGAAGCAGACTGTGTATTTAATTTAACTGAATAATAAATGTCCAGCACATAAAGTTTTGATCATAGAGGGTTAAACACCGGTGCTTAAACAACCTATACTGTTTCATGCTCTGGTGAGCTGTTTCTACACACCACACACAAATAGCATTCCAGCTGGAGCAGCTAGCAGGGCCATTAAAATCTATTGCTATGATTGTAAAATCTATTATGAGCGATGCTAACCGCAAATCATTCCAGCAGCAGATGTTTTTTTCACTAAAGAAAGAAAATAAAATGAATTTGCAAAATACCAAATGATGTTAATGTTGACAACAGAATCTATATGATTGAGGACTTAAAAACTAAATTAGTCCTAAAAGAGATTTGGTAACAGTGAATATATTACATTGGACAAACGAAATGAGAATGGATATGTTATAATCTCAGAGCATGCCTTAAAGCAGGACCCACAAAATCTTTATCTCTTTGAATCTCATCAATTAATAGTATATGGTTTGCTCACCTTTGAGAATGTGATTGTGAACACTTAAAATCCACTTTGATTTTGGAAATCGGTCCTATATCAGCCAGAATACAAATATCTAAAATCTCCAACATAATCAAGATTAAAGATATTATCATCTTTAGTTTAAAGTATATGTAACCCATTTGATAGTAATAAATTGTTAAGTTGTTCTCAAACCTAATATTCTTGACAAATCTTTGGTTGAGTAATATCACTTGATCAAGCCTTTTTTAATATGCCACTCTGCAAAATAAGTCAAACATTTATGTAGGATTTGAGCTGATATCGTATTCGAAGCAATTTGGTATTAGTCAACAAACAAAGCTGCAATATGAGAATAAAAGAGTTGTATAGGGAAAGGTAAAAAGTTGCATAAGGAGAGTGAAGCGCTCCCTGAGGTCCTGATGTCCCAGAGCTTAAATCATCTCAAACTGGTTTCTTGAACATGTTAACATATTCTCTGTACTGCAGTGGCCTATATGTTCACCAGATGTTGATTCCAACAGAGCATCATCATGGATGTGAGCAGACACATATACAGCAACACAATGATCCTGAAATTTTCATCTCATAGCTATGAAAACTGCCTCAGAGCTCCTGTGCTTGGCTTTGTTTCTCCCTAGGATAAGGCCACTAAGGGAGCAACTACTGCTTTACCTATTTTCTCATTTCTCATTTTCTTCACGGCAGATTATACTGAGCTTGAGGTTTCTTCTTGTTAAGAGTAGTTTTCCGACTGTGCATTGTCTCTATATATGTAGGAGGAGTGAATTCTGCCAAGTCTGACTTCATGCAACCTGCTGGCTTTCCTTAGACAGAAAACCTTTAAACCAAGAATTTGATAGTATTTGGACTGGTTGTACAATGGCAGTGGAGCTGGGTTGGTTGGTGATTTCACCTTCAACTGGCATTGGGTTACCAATGATGCTGTATGTTTGGGAAGATGTGGTGGGGGCAATCGGCCCTAAGGGTGACTGAGCACAGGTGAATTGACCCGTTGTTGGTATATGGGGGTCCTGTGGGGTCCAGGGCTCAATGGTGTCTGCTCAGTCATGCCTGGGTTGGACACTTAGAGTTACAACCTTCCAGTGTGTTGTGTTTTGTGACCGTGTTAAGTGGGGGGTTGACTGAGGGGCTCCTGCTGTGTGAATGTCATCGGCTTCTCAGGGATTTGACTCATGGCAGGTTTGTATCACAGCTATGGCCCTGTAAGGGGCTTCATGCCAGGGTTCATGGGGTGGTCAGTGATTTATGGGGCTTAGGTATCAACTCATTGTGGGTTTGGGAAATACTGGGAAGGCCCTTGTAGTCTATCCTATTTCAGCTTCTCCTTATTTTTACTTCTACCTGTAGATGGAAGTGGGTTTTGTTGTGGGACGGGATCTGGGTCTGAACCAGGGTCATTTAAGTTTGGATCCCGATTTTATCCTGGACTGTTAGGCTTGGCCATCGGGCTTTCTCCATATTACAACAGGGGTAGTGGTATTTGGACCTGGGAGTATAGAGCAGGGGTTTCCAAAGTGGGTGTCAGGAACCCCCCACCCAGAGGGTCACAAGAGAGCAAGCAGTGGGTCAGCAGATGGTTTTTATAATCATTGTGATATAATCCCTGAAGTACATGGGGAACCAAAATATAATGAAAGAAAGTGAATGAAATAAATAGATTCATCATGAAAGGTACAGTTAGCATTTTTCTAATACGTGATTTAAATAATAAATATACAATAAAATGGTCAAATGCACATTTTAATTTCCCTTTAAGTAGTTTAATTAAGTTAAGTGTTTAAATTTAATTTCAAAAACATTGATTAAAAACAAATACATCTATTTAAGTTTACATATACACATAAGGATAGAGTGGAGTAATTATGTGTATTTTTAAATTTCGTCTCCAGTCCGTTGCAATGTTATTTGTGGGATCATAGGGTGAAATGGTTGGGAACTTGGTATAGAATAGATCATGTATGGGGAGTTGGAGTGTGTGAAAGGCGTTCATTCCTCTGTGTTAAAGTCTGTTTGTGAACACTTGAGGGTGGGACTTTATGGATGCAAATGTATGTGCTGGGTTTTCTTTGTCAGGTTTAGTCTTGGTCTGCCCCCTCTCCCTGCAAGCATTAAGAAGGAATTAATCAAACTTTTCTTTCTGTAATTCCACATTTCTGCAGTAATACTTTTTTCATTTTTCTGTTGTAATATTTTTCCCTTAAATGTCATTTTGTCATTAATTTTGTGTATTACAATCATTAGCAGAAATAATGCAACCAAAACAGTCTGTATGTAATTAATCTATGATATGTGATTTATTAGATAAATGAAATACTTTTCAATAAGTGTTTAATTTATTGATTGGCATAATATTCTATTCTTAAAAGTCACATTTCTATTAACTTGGACTGAAGACACAATTTCAACATAAAAATTCTCCTGCTTAGAGGTTATTTTAAACTGTACTTTTATTCTGACAAACAAGGTGAGTTGAAAAAAGCAACAGATAACACTGGAAACCAGAGATATTAGTATAAATAAAATAAAAACCTGTGTGTTTACATGTGATTGTGTGCAGGCATTGGGGACATTAGGTTAGCAAAATAAATAATCTTAATATATACGGTAGGTTCATCTGATTTACTACTATATAAACATGTAAGTAACAGTAATTATAATATTATTTTTTTTCAAATAAAATACATTTTTTTGTGTATTCAAACAGAAAAGATTAAAAATGAAACATTTCAATGAAAAACATTTTGTAATAAAAAAACATCTATCTGCAGTGTGTGAAAGCTCTTCCCTCAGAAAAATCCTCATTAAGGACCTTTTTCCATCTGCATCTTGTGAACTGCCTCATGTGCTGCACAGACTGCTATGATGTGTTGATGTATTCGCCTGATGCTGAAGGTAAAAATAAAACAAGCAGTCTGGAGCCTCTCTTTGATGAATCCCGTGTTTTTATGTCCCCTCGTTGTCCGTAGCATCACCACAACTGCTGCCTGCATGATGGACCTGCGCCGGTACCCTCTGGATGAGCAAAACTGCACTCTGGAGATAGAAAGCTGTAAGTACTGTTCTCCCTGACAACCAGCTCTCACACCCACATGCAGATGGAGAATTAAACAGATCCCACACACACATAGACTCTCACAGCCTCACTGCAGCACCAAGGTAGAGTGGTGTATTGATAAAACGCTATGCTAAATGCTGAGGAAGGCTGATGAGATAGCCAGAGATATGCATCAAGGAGAAGAACATCACTAATGGCTCAGTGACTGATAACATCCTGCCTAATTAATTCATCTTCAGCCGCAGTGGCTTCCTAAGGTGCAGAGGAGCCTGACTAGGTCCAGTGTTTTAGGGATGTGCTGATAGTTGATGTTATGTGCAGCTTTCTCCCAAACCTGCATCACCTTGTTTGCACAGCAAAAAGAGCTCTTTTCACACCAAGGTTGTAGTTGTACGTCATCCAGCGCTATAGAGCGGAGGAAACGTGTGGAAGGACAGGAGATAGAAAGATGAGGTCCTCTGCGTGTTTCATCTGGGTCCCCGGAGTGAAGGATTAGGGCGCTGGGATGTGGTCTAAGGGGTTCAGTCTTTATAGGTTTGTTCCCTTTCTAGCCAGCAGCACCAGGCAGTACAAAAACGGCACGGGTCAGAAACGCCCCTCCTATGCTCCTCTCCCATTATGTCCGCCGTCTCTCTCATCGCTCCCTCTTTTCCGTTTTCTCATCTCTTTTCTTTGTAAAGATTCATCTTCTTTTTTTTCCCCTCCTCTCAGCCTTTTTATCTCTACTCTCATCACTCATATGCTGTGTTTCCCCCCCCCTCTCCTCCTTTCTCAAGCAGCCCTGCAAAACACACACACTCTATGCGTGCACATGAACACTCACAGCTCTAGTTTTGATCACCAGGCAGGATCTGCTCTCATATGGATTAACTGGCAATGGTTTTAATGCAGGAACCTCTTCATGCCAGAGCATGCTATTTTATTCAGACTAATGAGCCTGGAGAACTCTCACTTCCCTTGATAAACTTGATGCATTTTTAACAGACAATATTACAGAAAAACTACGGATCCTCCAATGCATCAGCAGCTCACTGCTCCAGCTCAGGGCACTGTTCTTACATACTGAGCATAAACTATAAATCATGTAAACTATAAAACACTGTAACCTAAACATGTGTTTCTATTTGCTCACACTGGACTTTGACCTTGAACTGTGCCTTTCAAAACTTCAGAACATATGTCTAAAAAACTTTTTGTTTCTCCAAAAAATATTCAAAGCAGATCAGTTTCATTGGTAAAACTTAAAAGTTTTCAGCTGTTTACAATACACTAGTTGCACAAGCATCAGAAAACAGACTGACTGACAAAGAAAGTTAGAAGGATCTAAGTGGCTTTTATTAGATCCCAGGTAGGCATGTGGTGAAACAGCAAAACTAGGTGGCAACTGAAGCTCAGGTTCTTAGCAATGAGTGATAATTACAAGTTTTTTAATTCTGCTAAAAGTGCTAGTACCTAATAAATACTGAAATGAGCAGTTTGAAAATTTTAATGTGTGCAAATTTAATACCATGAACCCCCTAATATGTACAGTATGTCACAAGCATAAGTGCATGCTCCTTCTTTGCACTTTTGCTTTTTCTAGATTATCTCCTACTTGCACTCATGTCAACTAATATGACTTTCAGGCTGTAACCAACCTAAGAAGGTAAACTGCCTGTGCTCAGCTACTTCTCAGGAAATCCTACCTCCACTGTTTCCTTCCTTGCTGCTACCACTATCCAATCAGTACTGGAAGCACGATCCGTACCATTCAGCTTATTTCCATTCTCTGGTTGCACCACTAGTCAGCTTCCTTTTTCTGTCACTTTAAATTGGTTTATTGATGTATCCTCTGGTTGCACATGTATAACCAGATGTTCATCCAGGTTGCCAAAAATGGTGTGCTGAAAAGTACTGAGAGTACTAATTTCTGTCCTCAAATCATCAAAAAATGCTAAACTAAATTGTATGAAAGGTATTTAAGACTTTTCTGAGAGAATTGGTCATGTTTCACATTCTGTCCATTATATTTCTTGTCTGACTTCATCATTGGACATGTTCAGCACAGTCTGAGAAAATATGGTTACGACATGTTTTTCTGCCTTTCAGTTTTATCTTTCTTTAGATTATGCACTTTATACTATAAAAGTACAAAAAAATGCAAACATAAAAGTCAAAATTTCTACAATTATTTACAAATCCAAAGCCAAAAAAAAAAGTTGCCAGAAATAGGTTAGGATTACTTTTCCGGGACAGAAGCAGGATAAAAAAGAAGGATGTAAACGCATTTATTCTCTCTGAGAAGCCATTTTTAACCTTTCACATTTTGTTCACTAGTTGGATTTTTGTAATTAGGGAGGTAAAAAAGTATTTTGTTAGTCTTTATTAAAAAAAATTAATAAATCCCAGATGTATTCTGGTTGTGCATGCGCAAATGAGCTGATGGTATGGAACATGTTAACAGTATGGCTTGGCCAGTAACATTAGCAAAGCAGGATTCATATTTAGCAACCATCATGCAGTTTTTGTAAACACAATGCAGGACATACAAGAATAAATGCTAAACAACAGCTGCAAAATGATTAGAAATGTAATTGTCTGTTAGCTAGGTCTGCAACTAACGATTATTTAGCAAATCGATTAATCAGTTATTTTTTCAATTAATCGATTAATAATCAGATAGGCAAAGGTTCCTTAAAGAAGATTTTTTTACTAAATTAAACCAGCTGAATCTCAAATGTTTCCACTTGAGAAGTTCTGGATTGAACATATTCACAGACAAATTTTTTATTTATCTTAAATGCAAAATGTTAAATTTTTTTTATTTCATTACTATTTTGAAAATAATTACTGCTCTAAGTGGGTCGCTCTGTCAGCTAAAGGAATGTTTTAGAGTCTCTATACTCCATGATTAATTGGTAGCTAAAATAGTTGAAGATTATTTCAATAATCAATTAATCATGATCAATCCGATGAATTGTCTCAGCCCTAAACTAAACTAATTGTCCACTAAAAACCAAAGTTCATTCAAGCCTTGAATTCCTCTATATATTCCGCTCACACTGAGCCTGGTTCTGCTGGAGGTTTCTTCCTGTTAAAAGGGAGTTTTTCCTCTCCACTGTCGCTACAAGCATGCTTAGTGTGAGGGTTTGTATTTGAGTCAATGAGTCAATGCAATCAACTGGTTTCCTTAGATAGAAAACTTTGTATCAATTTGACTGTATGATCTGGTTGAACTGTAAAGTGCCTTGAGATGTCATGTGTTGTGAATTTGGCGCTATATAAATAAACTGAATTGAATTGAATATAAACAGTGAGGCTAACATTAGCTTAGCTCATAGGAAATTCCAAATTTAACATCAATAATTTTAAAGATTATGGCTACTGCTGTCACAGCACATTCATGACTGTGGTAAACTATATGATTCAATGATGACTTCACCTAACTAATTTTTAACTCTGATAGAACAGTAATTGGCCTAAAGATGCTTGCCTAATGTTATTAGCTGCTGCCATGAAGAAAAAAGTATCATCTCAAGAGGTGAGATTTCCCTAAAAGTAGGAAATCACAGGCAGTTTGCAAGCAACAAGGGTGGAGGCATGTTCGTGAAATATTGGAGGGGTCATGGCATTAAATTTGCACACATAAAACATTAAAAATGCAACTGGAGAATAGTTTATATGCATATATTTTAAATAAAACTTCTGATATGAGTATTTGTTACAAATAACGCTAGCTCAGTAATGCTATGGTGCAGCTCTGATGCGCATTTGATTCTTTTTTTGTTGTTGTTTATATTTAATTTTTAGTAAATTTTATACTTTTAATTTCAGATTTTTTTTCAATTTCACTTTCATAGATTGACATTTATGAATTGCATTATCTTCAAATTGCTTTTCACAGATCATATTCTCCTCACTTCTAGAGGCGAGCTTTCCTCTGGAGTGAGGAACAAAGTATTTCCATTGGTCTGCAGGATGTTGGCAACAACATTTTTATTGGTTAAGTGAGTGTTTGTGTTGGGCTTGGTGTAAAATTGGGCTAGAATTTGTAAAATTCCATCTGAAAAAGAGAAATTTGAAAGAATAAATACGTTTGAAAATATGAAATGTGTAAAAAACTATTAAAAAGTAATATATGAAAAACAACAGAAAAAAAAATCATATAAGAAAAACACAAAACATAACTCTGAAACCTATTTTTGAGTTTTTTCAAGTTTCATTTCTGAATTGCATCTTTTCCAAGTTTCCATATAGAAAACATGTTTTTTTCCCCCCTAGTTTTCTTTACAGTTTGCTTGAAACAGTAATTCTCTCCATAAATGGACAAAAATGTCAGTCTCTAGATGTGTCACACTGGTACAGAAATTCCCCAAAGACTTTAAATTGTAAATGCAGAGAAACATACTTGCTCCTGGGAGCTGAACTCATTCACACCAGAATGTTGTTATCTTTATACTTGGATTTTCTGTTTTTTAAGGTCGTTGTTATCATTCCTCTACTTTAAGATTATGCAGTCTCTTGTTAGTTCTGTCACAAAAAAATCTCCAGTCCTCATGAGGCAGCAGAGGGAGTTTGTCAACATAAAACACTTTCAGTCTGTGCAATAAACGACCATCAATAAGCACATTATAAAAAAGGAAAGGACCCAAACCTAAAAACAATTTGAAAAGTGCAAAGAAAATCTCTTCTGACATCTAAAAAACACACCGTTACACTTGTTAATGCTCTCCTGTGTTACCCTGAATGCATTCACAAATGCACACAGTGGTTTGTTTGATTGGATCCCACATACGCAGCCTATGCTGTGAAATATTCACCAGAGCACCAAAATGCTCTGCGCAGCTGCAAACCTCAATAAATGCATAATTTACTGTTGTTTGAGTAATACTGCCCACAAGCTAAAGGACCCAGCTGTTTGGAAGAAAACTTAACTCCCTTTTGCATAACAGACACTGTATTTTTGCGCCTCATTGCGTTGACAGCCGCCGTGTTGCAAAATCAGGCGAACATGACTCAAAGGCACATTTCCATCTCTCTCATTTTGACATATTCTTGCAAATAAAAGAAGGGAATAAATAATAAAATGAATGGTCAAAGTTCTGTGAGTGCAAGTTCCTGGAGATGAGAGTCATTGTCAAAATTATTAGCAACACCTGAGTTTGTTCTGCTATGATAAATCAAATGTCGGCGTGGATATAAAGGCCTTTGACTGAAGCACCTGCCTGCCTAAAGAACCACAACAACAACCCAACATCAGTAAACTAACTCTGAATGTCAGTGCCTCTGCAACAAAGAAATGTGTGTTAATTTTTTAAAATCATAGCCTCAGAGTTTAATTATTCATTGCATCTGAATAGGTCACAGCCTCTATTTTAAGCATGAGGAAGACAAAACTGGATCTTTGAGTGGAGATGGATGCAATGCTTTTTATGTTGCAGCTGTGTTGGCTTCCATCAATACAGCAACTACAACTTTGTGGTATAAACTATAATATAAGCATAGTTTAAAGGAGATATTTGAAAGGGCTGCATAAAAAGGTAACTACCATTTGTATCCTCCTCGTCTGATATATAGAACATTTTACAATTATTTCTATGAAATGCAAAAAAAAAAAGATATTTAAATATATATAAGTTCAATATAGCTAGTAAGGGAGTCATTATCCACAGTAAATCTTGTCCTGTGTTGGTATTGGCTGAGAGGCCACTCACAGAGGAAGCAACTGCAAAAAATTAGAACAAATTCAAGTTTAACTGTACTTAGGATCAGAAATGTCAATTTTTGAAGACATGTCCTGAGATTAAAACTTAGAGTGTGGAATACAAAGGCAGTTTCTAAGTCAGCATTTTATCACCTGAAGAACATTTCCATGATTAAAAGACTGATGTTCAAGCAGGATCTAGAGAAACTCATTCATGCATTTATCTTTAGTAGAATTGATTACTGCAACAGTATCTTCATTGGTTTGCCTAAAAACTCCATCAGACAGCTGCAGCTGATCCAAAACGCTGCTGCCTGTGGTCTCACTAGAACTAAAAAAGTAGAGCACATTAGTCCGGTTCTGAAGTCCTCCCACTGGCTCCCTGTAACTCAGACAATAGACTTTAAAATCCTTCTTTTGGTCTACAAATCACTGAATGGATCAGCACCTCCATACATCACAGACCCATTGTCAGTGTAGATCACTCAGATCTTCTAGTTCCAGCCTTCTCTGTCCACCCAGAACTAGAAACAAACATTGAGAAGCAGCATATAGTTCCTATGCTCCACTGATCTGGAACAAACTCCCAGAAGACAGTAAAAGTGCTGAAAATCCTGAATTTTTAAGTCAAAGTTAAAAACCCATTTGCTTAGAACTGGCTTTGACTGTTGAATTTAAACTCTTCACTGACATATCGTTAGTTCAAATTTGTGTGTATTTGGTTTACTCATGTATTATCTCCGCTTGCTTACTGTATGTTCTGCTTTTATTTTCCTTCTATTTAATTGTTTAATTCATGTAAAGCACTTTGAATTTTCTTGCACTGAATTTTGCTGTACAAATATACTTGCCTTACCTACTGACAACTGTTAAAACAGCAAAACTTGCCAGCCATGGATTGTGAAGTACGGAGATATGAAGATCAGATTTTTTTATTTAAAATGGGTCAATATTCTTAAAATACATTACCATAAATTACCAAGTGCATTTCGAAAATTTTATGCGTGCCCATTCAAAATAATGAGCCCTCTAATATGTCCCAAGCAGGAGTGCACACACACTGACTGTTGGTCAGTAGCTTATGTCAATTTTTGTCGCTTTGAGGGTGAAACCAACCTGAAAAGATGAACTGTCTGTGATTGGCTACTTCTCAAGAAATCCCGCCTCTTTAGACAGTGCCGCTTTCCTCCTTGTGATGGCCAGAGACTTATAGGTAAGAGTTCTGACAACTCCATTTTATAAATTAGCAACATTACAAAGAGCAACATTTGCACTTTATAAATAGATTGAGGGAAGTAAGATGCTCATGCTGGTGTTGCCATACATATTACCAGAGCATGGCAATAGAAAATGATATTTAATTTGCTCTCATCTTTGAACATGTGCATATGGGCCAACTATATGATTGAAACAGGCTATAGATAAAAATAGATTTTACATGGCTAACNATATTACCAGAGCATGGCAATAGAAAATGATATTTAATTTGCTCTCATCTTTGAACATTTGCATATGGGCCAACTATATGATTGAAACAGGCTACAGATAAAAATACATTTCACATGGCTAACAATAGAATCATAATATGGATTAGAACCTTTTAGTCAGTAAGCTTTTTAGTAAAGGTGTTTTTTGTTAAATAATTACTAAAAGTTTTGGGTCTGTCACAGATCTGCATGTATTTTGAATGGGCGAGTCAAGCACTCTCTTTCTCTTGTGCTGGCAGAACTTTCTTACTCAAAGTTTTGGTTACAGCTGGTAATGTTAGAAAAAACATCTTTAGGCTAATTGTTGTGCACTTTTTCTCAGCATTCTGATTAGTTGCATTATTTTTGTTTGGGTGTTTTGCTGCAGGAGGGACTGGTGCACTTCATAAAATAGAGGATATGATGGAAAGAGTGTGTTTGAGAAAGATAAAGCAACGTCACAAAACACCAGCCAGGAAGTTAGAGGTCGCACAGTTTCAAACTTGACTGATGCACTGTCAGGTTTACACGGTTTGCAAAAACTACTGCAAACTACTGTAGTAAAAACTTGTGCAAGGATAAGCGACCCATCTGACCAAAGTCCGTTTATTTAAAACAGAGGAATTGTATCTAAACCTCTGACATTTTGAGAAAAAACAAAAAACCATTTGTTTTTAGCAAAGAAAAATATCCTTTTACTAATCTTAACAAATTGAAAATAGGAAGTATTCAGTCTGAGTCAGGCATTGTTTATGCAACAAAAATCATGAGGATTGTTTCTCATTTTCTGGATGCTGTAAATAAAAAAAATTTTGGATTATCATCAATATATTTGTATTTATTTATTAATTTTTTTATTTTGTGTTGTTATGATTAGCACATTAGGCAATTATGGTCATTTATAAATCATACTTGCTTGGCCGAAAGGAGGCTTTAAAAGCACAGTGAATTTATTTATTTATTCATTTTTTTTTTGGTAAAACTCTTTACTAGAAACTTTTTAAAAACTTTTTTGCAAATTTTGATCTCTTGTTTATTAAATGACGTCTTATTACCTGAAAAACTAGAGGGTATGTTTAGCTATCTAGGACTTGCATTTTCAGCTAGAGGGCAGAACAGAAGTGTAGGAATCACTACTGAAGGTCTTAGAGTACCAAAATGTATTCAAGTAAAAGTAGCACTACTTCATTATACGGTACTTCTACTTTAGTAAAAGTAAAAGCAGCTGTCCAATAAATGACTTAAGTAGGAGTAAAAAAAAGTAGGCTACTTAGTTAAAAGGCTTCTCCAGTACTGTCTTTTTTACTATTTAAAATGGTATAAATGAGGAAGTTTATTAAATATAAAGCTATGTGCAGATTCCTTTTGTTTTAAAAACAATGTAATGGGTTTAAATAAGAATTGGAAATCCAAGCAGAAGAAACACTTTGTTAAAGTCAAATTTTGGATATATAACACATGAAGGCATTTCTTAAGGTATAAGAAATTAACACCAAAACAACAGAGATTAGGTACAAATCTCATGAGGTCCTGCGTTTTATGTTAAAATGAGTTTCTTTTTTTTATAAAGTTACTCACAGTCAGTAGAGTAGCCGAAGATTTTACTCAAGTAAGAATAATGATACTTCATTATAATCTTACCAAAATAAAAGTTAAAAGTAAATGAATCTACTCCTAAAAGACATTATTTATTAAAAAGTTACTCAGGTAAATGTAGTAACTAGTTAATACTCAGGTATCAAAAATATGTATAGCAAACATTATATGTGATTTGATTTTTTGGTCATTGTGGGTAAAACTTTGAATTAAGGGAGCTTTTGCTGAAGATTTCCTATTATCTTTTATTATAAATCAGCCAATTATGAGGTCACGGAATCACCAGCAAACACATGATCCTTTTGTTTGATCTTACATCTTTGTGTTGCTGCAAAATTGTTGCTTTGTTAATAGAAAATATACCTAAAAAGGGCTGATATTATCTTAGCATATGATTATCAAAATCTGCAATAAACTGCAATAACTTTTTAAAGTTTGAATACCGGCTTCCACTTACTTTAAGCAAGAACGATTCCAGAAAATTGTGGCTGTGCTAATAGAAGATGGGTCATCAGAAACAAACTTCAGCTCTGCCATAAACCAGAATATGAGGTTTTACACCGACTGATGGTGATCATGGTTCTGCCTCTGTCGTCTACAGATGGATACACGACTGATGACATTGAGTTTTACTGGAGAGGAGGGGACAATGCCGTGTCTGGGGTTGACAGGATAGAGCTGCCACAGTTCTCCATTGTTGACTACAAACTCATCTCCAAGAACGTTGTCTTTTCTACAGGTAAGTCACGGAGTACCGATCCATGTTTTTAAGCTTTTAACTTTAATTTTGTGCCATATTAAACCTGAACCCTTTAGTAATACTCAAAATTATTCCTATGCTTCAAAAAAAGACGTGTTAAAAGCCTTAAAATATATATATTTTTAAAAGCAGACACATAATGTTAGTCGA